TATCTTGTACACCATGTGCTTACATATTGTGTAGCATCAGCTTTTACTCACCACCAATTATTGCATTTTTTGTTATTTAATTCACATTTATTAAAATGGCTGTCAATTTCTATTCCCTGTATCTCCTTCATTCGTTTAATCATTTATTCATGCAAGAAAATTCCTTCTACCAGTTTCCTTTTTCATGAAAATTTTAAATTATTTCACCATTTTTTGTATAACTAGTCTTAGTGTCCAAACATGAGATTTTTCCATATACCCAGCAACTTAATTGCTCGTTTTGGAAATTATTATTTATTTCATCCCACATTTTCAGTGATGGGAGATACGGTTGCTGTTTGCACCGTTTGGTATAAAATAAATCGATTCAATAAATTGGACAATCTAAGAGCATCCACAATGTTTTGGGTTTAATCTCAAAAAATTACATGCCACATAAGAAATAGATTCAGTCTAAAAAAATATATTCTCCAATGTAAATAAGACTGGGTCCTACTGATGTGGCAGCCAAAAAAAAGAGACCCGGACTCCCCTTAAGTCTATTTTAGACCCAAGTAGAGACCTAGTCTCTTTGCATTGGAGTAGATTTTATTAATTTTACATAGTTTTATCCATGTCATCTAGGATTTGAGTTTATTTACTTGCCACATATACAAGACTAGCCCTAATACATTGAAGATGCTCTTATGAAGCTTCAAAAAGTATAGGTTGAACTATTTAAATTTGGACATTGATCATCAACTTTAAACAGAGTAATTAAATATAGATTAAACTCAAAGTTAATTTTTAAAAATATATTATTTATCCCAAATAATGATGTTAGCACACATAATCGTTAAGCATGCATACTTTTCAAAAAAATAAATACTTATATAATGAACCATTATAAATTTATTTATGTTAATATGTTATATTTTAAAGTATGATATCTTATCCAAGTAAAGGACTGTTACCTAACTATTATGCAAACTAACAATTTAATAAGTAAATAAAGACTTAAGTAAATGAATTTTTAGCCCAACCTATATTCTAGCCCATCCAAGCTAATGCTTTAACTATTTAGTACAGTCCTAAATGAATGATTATAATGTACTGCATTTGAAGGTTACAAGAAAACTAAGCATGTTAATTATATGACAGCAGCTCATTTTTAGTAAAATGATTGACTAGCCAAAAATACTGGCTTTTGATCATGTCAATTGTCATTGGTCCAAAATAGTTGTCCAACAAGATATTTTACAATTATCCCAAAAGTATCTCAACAAAAGTACTTGAAAAGGAAAAGAATGTGAGTGGCAGATGATCCCTCTCATTACCTAAATTTACAATAATATTACATCTATTAATTTATTTATTTACCAAATGATCCCTCTCATTACCTAAATTTACAATAATATTACATCTATTAATTTATTTATTTACCAAAAAATCTGAAAGGACAAGTTTATAGTGTAACTCTTTAGAATATGTTCCCCTTAATAATTTAGTCATACCATTGACATGATTGGTAGGAAGGAATGACATGAGAATGGAATGATTATTCCCTTACTCATTCCTTATCCCATGATTGGTATATTTTTTGAAAAAATGACCATGGGAATGGCAAAACCCATCTCCATGGTATTAGCCATTCAATAGTAAATGGAAGGTTTTCTCATTCCTATGTGTGTAGGAATCAATTTTTCAAAAAATAAAATTAACAAATAATAAACAAAAATAAATATATAATATATATTATAAATCATGATTAAAATATATTAAATAAAATTATTTTTAGAAAGAAATTCAAATAAAAAAATTGAAAACTTACTTTTATTTATTTTTTTAATTAGATATATTAAATATTTATATAAAAATAAAACTAAAAAAAGTATTTATATATAATTTAAAAATATATTATTTTATTTTTATATATTATTAAAAATATATTATTTTTAATATATTTAAAATATATTACTTTTAAAAATATATTATTAAAAATATATTATTGAAAAATATAAAAAATATATATTATTAAAAATATATTACTTTATTTTTAAATATTATTAAGAATATATTATTTTAAAAAATAAATCAAATAAAAAATTGAAAACTTACTTTTATTTACTGTTTAATTAAAAAATAAAATATATATTATTAAAAATATATTAATTTTTATTTTTAAATATTATTAAAAATATATTATTTTTTACATATTAAAAATATATTACTTTTAAAAATATAATATTTTTTATTTATAATTTAAAAATATATTATTTTATTTTTATATATT